CAAAAACTTTCTTACTATATGCTTTTTGGCACAGTCTTAAAAGATTTTTGGGATGGTCTCTCATTATTTCCATGACTAAGACAAACCTGGCTTAACCCAGGTCCTTCATCTCAAAAATAAAGGACAACCACTGGTTAGTGACATTGATAATCTCCATGTTGTTTTTGGCTTAATAGTATGTCATCAACATATAAGGAGAGAAACATAATCCCTCATGTTGTTTTCTTGACATACATATAATGGTTTTCACTTACCATGGACAAGCCAAATGAAGTAATGGCTTTATGGAATTTGAAATACAATTGTCTAGAAGACTGATTAAGACCATATATGGATCTTTTAAGACGGCAAACTTTATTTTCTTAACCTTTTAAGACAAACCCAATATGTTGATCCATATATATTTATTCCTCAAATGTACCATTAAGGAAAGTAGTTTTAACATCCATTTAAAATAACTTCAAGTCCAAATGGGCAACCAGGACTAGAAGGAGGCGAAGAGAGGCAAATCTCACCACAGGAGAAAAAGTTTATTCATAATATATACCCTCAATTTTGGTAAAACCTTTTGCCACTAGTCGGGTCTTAAACTTCTCAATTGATCCATCTGCTCCACGTTTTATCTTGAAAATCCACTTGTTTCCATTTGATTTATGTCGAGATAGGAGATTAACTAGTTCCCAAACCTTATTTCTCGTCACTGAATCCATCTCATCCCTCATGAGATCAATCTACTCTTTATTGTTTGGTGAATTAATAGGATCTTTAAAAGAGGTGGGTTTCTCAATTTCTAAAGGAGCGGAAAAGAGAATTTCTCTTTCGATTTGGAAATATCATCAGGGAATTTTTCTACATTCACTCTTTCAGATTCTTGGATCTTCATCACCTGCTTGACTATATGATAAATCTCCCACTGTCCCTTGTTGGCTTCGGATTTGGAACTTGAGAACTAATATCATGTTTCAAGCTCGGATCTTGAGGATTAACCCAATTTTCTAGTGGATTATCATTTGTAGGCAACTTTCCACCATATAGAATAGTAGGATCACTTCCACGATCTCTTTTATTTGGTGGAATATCACAATCCTTGATGACTTGGTAGGTTCTCAATACCTCCATGTGACATCGTAAGTACTAATTAAGGCAAATGGATATCACATACAGATTTAGAATAATTGGTGCATGATAAAATTTATGTAGTGGAACAAAATTATTACAAATTCCTTACAAATACACATGAGTTCCAATACATACATATACTGAAGCCAAAAGTGGCAGCAAAATATAAAACAAAACATAATAGACTTCCAAGTGTAGGTCAACTTGCGGTTCCTCACTTTCTTCCTCATCTGGGGGATGTGAGGACATGGAACAAGTGAGTTCTATATGCTTAATAAGGAAAACAGTATTAAATTAATATCATAAGATTTTAAAAGGTAATTATTTTAACTTACCATTTAACCTCCTCATTAACCTATATCACATTATGGAAAACCATTTATTTGTTAAGAAAACAATACATTAATACAGACAACCAAACATAGATCATGCCAGATAATAGAAAAAATTAAATAAATCATGAAATGGTCAAATTTTCGGGTCATGCTTCGCGATGTCCTTACAACTTCTATTTTTGAGGGCAGATATAGATTTCCAACTCCCCAAGTGGAACGACTAGATCAGATATAGATATGATAATTTGCTCACGCTCATTTTCGGTTGGCCAAACCATGATACAATTTATAACCATGGTTGAACCAGCCATAGTGGCCCTAATAGATATCTACTGTCAC